CCGGGGGGGGGGGGGGGGGGGGGGGGGCAAACCCAGACGGATTCAAAATCCTAGAGTAGAAAGCGATCGGAAACTACACCGGTCCCGTTTCCAACTCTCGAAAGTCGTTCCGCCCTCTGATGTTGGTACATCATGTCGAGGTAGTCCTTTTCTTCCCCACATTTTCCTGTTCGTGAAAATGTATCTGGGAGATAACAGTATGAGACTTCGGGTGTGTAAGTACTTCCATCTGAGACTACACAATTATAGCCTACACAACTATAGCTACATCATGGAGAAGTAAGGACATCTGGTGTGCCTTTTGCAGGAAATTTGGTGGAAAAGGGAAGAAAAACTGACCAGTAAGAAAGAAACGGGAAACCATGTGACTCCCACTTATTAATTGATTAATTTCAATGAAGTGATTAAAATCGCTTTATGGGCCAATACAGGCCCATAATGAACCACTTTTAATCTGCGAATAAGCTCAAGTTGCTCATATGTCACAATCAAGTCCACAATCCCTTCCTTCCTCTTCTCAAAATGTCATTAACACCTTCAGCCTGCGGGCGCGTTCAGTGACGCCCTGCACCAAGTTAAGGGGCGTGGTGGGGATGGAGGGGCCAGATTTTCCCGAGATAAAATCCCTCTAAATGTCCTCGCTTTCCTTTATTGAATTGGCCTTGGTCTTTTCATACACATTTTTCCATTGAAGGAAATAACGTGGGTAACTTCTTAAGGTCTCGACATTCTAGGCTGCTGGATGCTCGAGCGTATATTTACGTCCCCCTCGCCATATGCGTTACAGTACGTGAAATAAACAGAGACGGCGAGTGACAGCTAAAACGCAGTGAAAAAACTAATCCAACCCGCCTAGCCTTTAACCTGGAGAGGGAAAATGCTCGCATGTCAAACGGCTCGAAATGAAAAGCCAGGCAGTTCTCAACAGGGCATTCCACATTCATAGGGTAGCGATCGTGCGAAAACAGCTGGAATGACGTTGGGCGTCCTAGCCAACGCAACTCGAGAATCGTTAAAGGGCCGACGGGTACACGCGCAGTTCTCCACGCAACGTTAACATTCTTATGTTGCTCTTCAATCATGTTTAATAGAGGCATAAAGCTAAAATCTGGCAAACGAGTCGCTTTTGGGTTGACACTTTAAGAAAAGATCCGACTTTTTAGGTAAATCCCATAGGGGATATTTAGATAGAGAACGTATAATTGAAAAATATCTTCAGGAAAAAAATAGAGCCAAAATTACAGCGGAAATTTGCTGCACAACTAGTTCTCGGGGTGGTGCTTTCAAGAACAGGACAACTTTGAGTATTCATTTCCTCATGGTGCAATTGTTAAGGAAGGCGTTTAGCACATCACCCTGCACCCTAAGGAACACTTTTACAGGGGAGGAGGGGGACAGGGGAAGGTTTCCATATGTATCTTTTGCTTGAACGAAATGGTTCATCCATTTATGCCAAAAGAGGTACAAAGTCAATTAGAAATCCCACGGAGATATCTTTGGTTCAAGCTAAGAATCTCCTTTCATTTCAAATTGCCGGCCTCAAGTTAACAATGATATCAAAGAGTAGCAAAAAGATCCTGACATTACATTTAAAATGTTGTAATCAAGTTTAACATTGGTGGAGGCGTGACCGTCGAGGGTGCACTTTCAGAAGATTTAATCTGTAATTGACTTCGCATAATGGAATACGATTGCGAGGTCCCTATTCACGGGACGATACAGCAGATTGTTTTGGTTATTGCGATTCTCCGGATTATACAATTAAGTTCGCTGGTCCCGTGAGTAGTTTCAACAGTATGGGTTATAATGAAATAAAGAAAACATTCATTAACGTCGAATTCCAAAAAGTCAACTCGTGATATCTCTTTCAAGCGCTTTGCATTCAAAATTAGTGAATACCTATCGCAGCTATTAAACATGTTTAGAAATAATAACGAGATTTTAAAAATGCTGGCTCAATGGCAAATTTTTACTTTCCCCGTGAATTTGGTGGAAAATAACACTGTAAATATGCGCCAAAAGGAGTTGAGGAACAATATCTCGCAAGTTGCGAACTGATTTATCAACTTTCCGTAATCACAGCCCTAGAGAAAAAGATATGAGAGGTTAGTGACAGATGCAGGGGGCTTCATGGTGATTTCTTCATCGTCGACTTAATCCATGGAATGAACCTGTGAATGTGGTGTTTTCGCATTGATCAATGAAAGCGATCGGGAAAAGCGGTGCTGGAGAAGAAAGCGAAAGGAATAGTTTTAGTCTCACCGATTGACTTTGGTGAAAATGGTATACTGGCCTGGGCGCCTCATGGAGCAAGGTTGGTCGAATAGAGAGTGACTCACGATTCCTTCTACATGCCAGCGTCTCGCCGAGAAAAACACCATTGGACTACCCGAATCCCCACGACACACCGTTTTGTAATCTACGTAGGAAATCCTATAACATTAATGAATGTGTACATCGGGAATCAACAGCCAGAGCAAGAAAAAATCTTCATTCTGCATTCCAGAAAGGTACTCCTATCCTCATCCACGTCACTCATCAGAGGACGAAGATTACTATTAGTGTCATTTTCGCTTGTATGGCTTTCTTATTTAACCCTGAAACTGCTTTACATATACATTATCACACAAATGCAGCATAGCAAGGTCCTCTTTCACATTTTACGGAAAAACTGTGTTTGGATGCGTCTTTTCAGTGATTTTTAAGGATTATCACACATGTTGAAATATTACATTTGGAGAGTTATCTTTAGAAAGAATCATGATACGCCCTTAAAAGATCAACAATTTCCAGGATTTACTGCGAATAATTTTCTTTCTGTCACACCATATGTCGTTAATGAAGCTCAATTTCTAGGTATTTCAATTCCAATGGCGGACAGTCTATATTAAATAGAATGTCTGGAATGTTCTCCCCTCGAATAAACTACATTAAAAAATAAAAGAAATTAGTAGTGGAAGGTGAAAAGAGATGAGACGAAAAGATTAAAATCGAAATGCCGCCTTGGTAACACCAGATATGCGCTACTGCCGTTTCAACTGGACGTGTGCTTGCAGTGTACAAAAGACTCTGAATGAATGTCTCTAAAACCTCATGTAATTGAAACGAATTCCTTACCTTAAAGACGAGGTTCAGTCATCAATGATTTGTTGCTATATTATAGTTCACCACCCGCATAATAATGAATTTAAGTAGCTTACTTAGATGTGCTGAATGGAATGACTGCTACTCTTGTAGCATTGTAGGTACTCATGTACCGTTTGCTTCAAAAAATACTAATACTTTAAAAAAGGAAAAACTACAATCTGGTCTTCATTTTGGGAGTTTTACTCCATGAAGTCTTTTCCAAACTGATCCAGACCGAATTTCCATTATTACAACGATTTATACATTCGACCGCATTTAAATTTAAAAAAGGCAATCCTTAAATATATTTTGAGTTCATGTTGCCTCATTTGCAATGAAACCAACTAAAAATAAATTATCAAGACGATAATGAAAGGTTCAAGAAAGGAGGTTTTCGGTTAATAGGAATTAATCAAGAATTCACACTTAGGTAAGGCATGTTTCAAGAGAGAATTAATAAACAACTGCAATGAAAACGTTTCGCCACTTTTATGCCTCACCTTCAAAAGAAGTTTCCAAGACGTACCCTGCACAAAACATGTTCGACGTGAGGGTTCTAGCCGGGCTTGGGTCGCCTATAAAATGAATTGTGTCCAGAATGCATTTGTGATTGGATAAAACAGGGATCTCCACTTCCGTCAGCTCCTCACTGAGGATATCAGATTCATCATAACCCCAACCAGCCACCTGACATCAAATTAAAGATCAACAAGAAGCCATGAGGTAGGGGAAAGCGTGCACAAGAAACTCCATGTCTTACCCATCCTTGCTTTCCATTTTCGAGGTTTTGTTGCGATAGATCAAATCCAGTTGGGAGACATACTATCTGCACTCGGTCGGTTAAAATTGCCGGCTCAGTCAGTCTCACTAGGGCAATGGTCGAGTCATAATTGCGGATGTTGAAGTCTTCGTGCAGGATGATCGTAGACACCTGGGAGCAGACCATGTCAATTTTTTCCCACTACGCGAGAGTGCGAAGCAAACGTGAGAACTCATTAATCACCTGTTTTTGTTGCACGAATTCATCATCCAGGGAATTATTCCGATAGTGTTTTCCGAGATAAACGAGGATATCATCTCTGTTCCGAGCTCTTGAAGTACCATCAATGGTAAGGCAATAAGCTGCGGTAAGAACCCACTCCTCGTTAATGAGAGCCCCTCCACAAATGATGTCTCCTCGTTTGACATCATAAATTGCAGCCTGCCATGGCCATTTTCCAATATTAGATGGTGTTCCCCCAGCTGACCTTTTTAGTCGTATCGGTTCCTTCCTTCTCCCACATTCTGGAATTTAAGCAGATATAAAACTTTTACTTATTGAAATTATGTCCCTCTCAACATACGTTCCATGAGGAACGTATGTTGACAGGGACATCGTTCACTTTACATGTTCCCATTTGTCAGATCGAAAAATATATCCTGAAATACTTATACTTCCCTCCTATAATCTGCCCGAAGGAGACAGGGATGGCTTTGGGAATGTGAGTATATGAAATTTCCTAAGATATATGAGCGCAGTAAAATGAATGAAGCCAATGTATTCCCAGATTTCGGTTCATTATATCAATTCAGCTGAACTTCTACAATATTCTTGTTATAGTAATAAAATTTCTGAAATTTACTACTCAGAGAGAGCCATTTAGGTGTGCCAACTCCCTAATCAATCTTTTTATAATTTTTTCACATATTCTTCTTCAAGGCCAAAACAAATAATGTTACGTGGAACTTTTCTCAATTGCGCGATTGCCTTTTGGGGCAGCAAAGGAAAGTGGTGGTGTATAAATAGCCTACGTGGAAACGGTGTATCGAATCCTGTCATCCTGTCGGAGAGCGAGAGTCGGGACAACTCTGTCCGAGGCTCCATGATATGGTATTATCATTGAGGCTCGGACATAGTTGTCCCGACTCTCGCTCTCCGTGTCTCTTGGTGCCTCCAATGGAACTCACTTTTAGTTTTCCTTTTTTTGATAACAGGAACGAAGTTACCCAGAGCATCCGAAAGAAGTTCCTAAATTCGTTCGACCCTTAGCTTAGCATGGCACGGAAAGTTGGGAAACCATTCAACGACCAATTAAAAGAATGCAAATTGGGAAGTTACCTTCAGATTCTGATGGTTGGAATGCCGGTGAGACGGTCGTGACTCTGCAACACTCTTTATTTCCTGGGCACGATGTGTTTGAAATCTCAGTCCCTGGATCGCAAAGGATTACATTTGAGCGAGCAAGGCACACATGGCAAGATGGGCATGGTGGCACATGTGATGTTGTTTGCACGATATGTTTAGTGACTGTCGGTGTGTTTTCAATACTCCTCTTGATCCAATTGACATACCTGAAAGGATAGAATTGAGAAGGTGATTTTAAATCCTTAACAATGATGGGAAGGGAATGTATGAACGAATGGGAGGAAAAATACGAATTGCGACCTGACCGATTGACTCTGATGAAAATGGTGTATTCGCCTGGTCTCATCATAGAGCAGGTTTTTCTCCTGAAATACTTACTCACGATTCCTTCTACATGCCAGCGTCTGTCCGAGAAAAACACCATCGGACTACCCGAATCCCCGCCACACACCGTTTTGTAATCTACGTAGGAAATCCGATAACAGTAATGAATGTGTACATCGTGAATCGGCAGCCAGAACATGAAATAAATGCTTCATTCCGCATTCCATAATAGTACTGCTATCCCCACCATTCATGTCACTCATCAGACAACGAGGAGTACTCTTTGTGTCATTTTCACTTGAATGGTTGACCTTGAAACTGCATCACATATATTTTATCATGTATATGTGTATATCATATACAGCGTAGCTAAGTCTTCTTTCATTTTTCAAGGAAAAACTATTTTTGGATGCGTCTTTCGAGCAATTTTTCGGTATTGTCACTCATGCTAAAATATTACATTTGGGTCGTTATTTTTGGGAAGAATCATGATTCGTCCTTATTGGGTCAACATGTTCCAAGATATACTGCGAATAATTTTCTTTCTGTCAAACCATATTTCGTTTTATTTTAAGTATTAGCACATTACTCGTAGTATTCCTTTTATCTTTAGATGCCTTTGTGATTAGAGACACGTGGAGCACGCTAAATTTTATCTGGAGGTGATCCATTCACGACTCATTAAATAGGGAAGTCTGAGAGGTTTTCATCGCATTTTGCAACCCGTACAGGCGCTCATTGATCTCGTGCTGTTCGCGTCAATGCTGTGTGTTGCGGGAGGAGGAGGACACGATCTCTCGGCCTTTTCAGTACTCCACACTCCGGGTAGAGTACTGAAAAGGACCTTTAGGAACTGAAGAGGATTTGCCCTGGGTTTGTAAAGTTCAATATTCGTGCGATTCATCACGTTGAGTTGGACTCTACTACTTGGAGGAACGCAAGAATCGATCGAGGAATGTCGAATGCACGTCGAATGCAACGTGACATGATATCGAATGAACGTTAGCATCAATACCGTTGCAGCATGAACAGGGAACGTGGAAGCAATGCTGAAGAAAGTGGCATCTTCGCGTCGACTCGATGCGGCTTTTCGATGTCGTTTCAACATTCAACACGTGGACGTGAAACGTTGTTTCAACGTTATCTGGAGCGAGATTGCAACCGTGACTAACGGCGGCCGATGGGTGGGGCGAGACACGGACGTGCCCTGATCCGACATCACTGATCCGACATCACTGTTGATGATGGCGTCCGACACGCATTTGCATCGTCGGAGGCATTCTGACGGCGGGGTTGAGATTCTTTTTTCAGGGAAAAAGGTAGGCCTAGGCCTGACCCGAAGACGGTCCGTGGGTTACTCCTAGGCCTAACGTTTATGAGTCCCGTAGGGAAAAGCCTTTAAAATATCGTTTTCACACCTGATCTTAACTTTATCGGTTCGTACAAAAACCAAGGGCAATGTTGGGTTGTCAGGGAAAAATAGTTTCAAATTTTGTTTCAGCGCGTACCAGCCGGCAACAACAACGGAACCCATCTGCAAACCGTTAGGACGCCTTGGGGAATCCCAGGCAGTGGCGTAGCCAGGGTTTCGCCGATGGAGGGGTTTCTCCTCGCCCGGTGGGGGGGGGGGGGGCATTTAGACCGGGCTTCAGCACCCCCTCGATACGCCACCGATCCCAGGCCAGGGTTTGTCGTCGACTAGGAAGCGATCTGCCCCATCCTCGTCCCCCGACGATCATGCTTCAGTCCGCTTGGAGGCGAAGTCCCGGAGTCGTGGTTGTCGTGGTCGGAGGAAGGAGGTCTCTGGACTCGTCCTCCCATTTCCTTCCTTCGTCATCCTTTTTCCGGCTATATTTTGTCATTCGGCTACGACCGAACATGCTGCTCGGCATATGTTGCAGAACGCAGAACGGAGTGTGCCGAATTGGGACCGGTGCATCGTCTTCGATGTTTATCGCCGAATCGTCATATTTCCATACGGTACCCATGCATTTAAAGTGCAGCTAGCAGCTAAACTGAGTTCTAAGGAACAAAAAAACCAACGCCGATGTCGTCAGGAACGTAAATTTGCGATAAATTCACGTTCCGTCGTTGGAGAAGGCATTCGCAGGTTCACCAAATCGTAGGACCGAAGGAAAACGCCGCCATGCGCACACGCCGAAAATCCGAGACGAAAAGTCTTCATCCAACCGCTTCAAATACGAAGCCAAAGTCTGGAAACGAACTGAAACGAGTACATCCGAAGAGGACTTTCGCGACCCGGAAATATGGAAATCGTCTGACCATTTTCCCGTCCGCCTCGGATCGTTTCCGGACGAGTTTCGCGCCGCGAGACCCCGGGGAGCCCCGAAAAAAAGAAACCAAAAGGAACGCGTGAAACTCTGGAATGCCAGCGCGTATTTCCCCTTCCCTCTTCCTCGGTTCATCGGTTCCGATTCCAAGCGATCCACATCCCCAGCCCTCCAGAGCCCGGAGGGAGGTAGGGGGACCGAGCAGGCGGAAAGATGCCGATGGAGATGACACCGCACGAGAAGGCGAGGAGGGGAACATCGCAGTAAGTTCGATCGGCGGAAAAATACTTGCTTTTCCGGTCCGCTGGAACCTGTCTCTCCCACTCCCACTCTCCTCGCGGATGTCTTTGCGATGATTTTTTTTTCTGGAATCATGGATGAATGACTCCGAGATTTGTTTAAGGCCGACTTCCTCGCTATCTCCCATATGGCTGCACGATTTAGGACGACGGTCTGTTTCGTCAATCGCGCGTCTCAAAATAGAATCGCGACTGCAAAAACTCCATCACGTCGAGGTAAGATACATGATGGCAGTCGTCGGTGGGGTGAGGTTATTACCTCTGAGAAAATTTTAAAAATATCTGGTGGCGCAAAAAAAAACGCGTCCTGCTCGACGCTTTATAAAACCAGCTGCGGATGATCTAGGATCGTGATGTTTTCGTATCACGTTGAAAACACCACAAAATATGTTTCCTGAAAGTTTCATGCGTCTAGGTTGTCGGAATGGAGTTTCAGCACTGTTCGAATGATTTCTCTCACTTGACACCATAAATGCGTCTCTTTATGCCAGTTCTCATCGTCGTATTCTGCGCAGTTTCGATTCCGATGCTACGATGCACAATCGTCCCACGACGCGTAGAATACTCCAAGGACATGCCGTAAAAAGCAGTCTGAAACTCCATTCCGACCACGACACGAAATAGACACACGAAACTTTCAGAAAACAAATCTCGTGTCGTTCCCAACGCGATACGAAAGCATGAGGAACCTCGACCATCCACAGCGGGTTTTATCGCCTTCGCACTTCCGAGTCCGACGATTTGAATGCCAATTGCTGCAGCACGTCGAGCGATGGGCATAGATCTAACAGTGTTAATGCCCAAGTTGCAGCATAAAACTCTCGATGTTTTGGGAACTGAGAGAGTGCCTTTTAGTTCGCCTGAAACCCCTTGAAGATCATCTCCATTAATTGTTATTAAAGCCACG